CTCTCGAGAGCCGAGCGCCGATGATAAAGCATCTTCAACCTCCTGCTGGACATGTCCTGCTTGGCCGCACAAGTAGAAATAACTGAATACAGCAGTGAGAGAACTTCAAGAGAAAGTGTACAAAAGCATCAGACCCACCCTCCTTTTGTGACCAGAAGGTCATAGAGTCTCTCCCCGTCTTGTGCTATCTTATGCTGAACGTAAACCTTCTCTGGTTGGTCTCTGCTGAAGGCTCCGACCTGTCACGACAAGCTGTCCGGACCCTACCAGCATCCCCACTGAGCCTACCACTTCCGTGACAATACCGGCTCGGGCGTAACCCTCGAATTCCTCTCCGAAGGCGAAGTCCTTTGCCTTATGCCGGGCTCCATAGTATCTTGGAGGATACTCACCATTAGTGCAGTCACAAACTTACACTATCATTGGACCCGGTTTCTCATCAGTCAACTTGGCCCTGATGGCTCGGTCCTGTACGAAGGCTCGGAAGGGGGCTATTCCCGTGCCCAGGCCGGTCATGACCATAGGCGCGGTGATTGAAGTAGGCAGGGTGAACGTCCCAGCCGTTACACCACATCTCAAGACGTCACCTGAGGATACACTGGGGGTCCATAGTGATCTTGAAACTGGCCTCACCAGCTTTCAAACGGGTATTGATGAATGTACTACAGAGACCGCTACGGAGAGAGCCGCTCTGGTCAGACCACTTAGCAAGGACCACCAGTAGGTCAACTCGGCCACCACCGTCTAGACGTGGCGATGACGCGATAGAGTACCTATGGGGTGACGACTCTCACTCTACCGAGTGTATCACACTCACAGTCTAGGACGGATGATAGGTACCAAGTTCAGCAAATGCTCGAGACCTGGACGAGGAACCATCATCAGTCATGGTGCTATGGTGAAAGCTCTACTGGGTCTTGCAGAGTTGAAACTAAGAAGGGCCTCGCCGATGGTGGGGGCCATTGCAGCCGGATTGGAAGAGAGTTCCTCTATTTGCTGTCTCTCCTTGGGGTCAGTGGCGAATCTACAGTTGAAGTCTGGCAGGAGGTTCATAGTATTAATCTATACCTCGCGAGTTGACGAT